CCTCCTTCAGAAATTTTGTACTGGCTGTTCCTTCTAGAAGGAGAACTCTTTCCCCAGATATCTATGAATGCTCAGTGAATGAGTGAATGAAGGGATCACCGAGCCTGGGGGAGGGGCAGGCCTAGGACCTCAGGAAACCCAAGCTACTGCTTCTTCCCTCTCTGGAAGCTCATTTCATTCCAGCAACAAAAGCCTGGCACAGAATTGCTGCTGTACGTTTCAAGTCTCCCAGAGACAAATGTGAGAACTGAAGAACCTGAAAGGCATGAAGATCTCGGTAGAACTTCCACCCCCGCCCTCCCAACCCCAGCCTAATCCTGCATTTCAGAGCATTTGACCATTACATGTGAACATATCTCTGCTTCATCCTCACTGGGGAACATGACACGCGGGTTGGGTTCAGTGGGAAATCATCGGATATTTAGCTAGAACAAATAAAAGCCACTGTGTATTGTATAAAACACACATTCGTGTATATGAATACACATCACAACCTCGTCTAAGGAGCAAATAGACTGAAGGTAAAAGTCAACCCAGCTGAATTCAGTGATGCCTCCATTACAAAGATTGCTGTTTTACACCTGCTCTCAGAATGATGTAAAGGATCTGTGGAGAAATGGTTTCACTTCATAAAAATAAATTAATGAATAAATAAACCATTGGAAAGAGGCCATTAACCATGGCTTGTGCCCAATGACCTTAACTTCTAAGAATGTTGCCATTGCAAAAATATCTGCAATTAGGGAAGACTGACAAGGAGGAGTCAGTGGGAGAGTGAGAATAAACTCCAGGCTCATCAAGTATCTCTTGCTGTCAGGCACCCTGCAAGGAGCGTTTCACAAATGCCACCTCTGAAAAGTGGGTGTAATCATCCCTCTGTCATACATAAGGGCTGTTGCTGGGGTTTGAACTCCCTGGCAGGGAGAGGACAGTGAGGTACCTCTACGCCTCCCTTTGAAAGCAGCTACATGAGACATCAGAGGCAGAATTTAATGAGTTCTCTGTAGATCAATAAAACGAAGGCAAATAACCAGGTGGGTAAAAGGGCAAAGCACGTGAGAAAACATTTCCTAGGGGACATATAAATGGCCAATGCACATAGGCAAAGATGTCCCATCTTACTAGGAATTCGAGAAATATAAAATAAAATCACAAGATAGCTTTTACATCACTAGACTTGCGATACTGGCAAAATATAAAAGTCTGACATTATCAAATATTGCCAAGAACATGAAGCAATGCAAACCTTATGCTCTAAAGGGTGCCTAATGTGGAGAAAATGAGGGATTTTCTAATACAGTCACAGATGCATCTACCCAGTGATGCCTCAATTTCACTCACTAGACAACCTCTCAAAAAAAGCCACACAAGAGAACATTACAGAAATCTTCACCATAGCACTATTTTTAAGAGCAAATATAAATTGGAAACAACCTGTATGTCTAAAGGAGAGGGATACATAAATGGGAGTACAGTCGAACAATGGAATATCATACAGTAGTGACCTTGAATGATCTAGAACTAGAACTACACTCTTCAAAATGTTTGCATTTATGTTGCTTAAGGAACACACACACACACACACATACCGGAATGATAAGCACTAAACAGGATAGTGAGTTTGGGGGTGGGGGTGTGGGGGGAAGGTATACAGAAACTTGGTCATTGTGATTTCTGAGTCTGGGTCTTGCTTCCATGACTTATGATTTGTTTTGAATTGGTTAGCTGTTAACCATTGCATGTTGCACCTCTAAAAGGAGAATTTTTAATGTGAAAATCAGAGAAGAAGAATAAAGTGACTGAACTCAGGAAGTTCCCGCACAAAACAGCAATTTTCTCAGGGCCATCCTAAAGCAAGCCTGAGCTGAGCCACAGAGAAGCTCCATAAATATATTGTTTGAATTCCTACCTCCCCTTTTGTCATTAGCAAACAATGCTCTCTGGTTTCTCCAATCTTTCAAGGTAATTAAGGGCCTGCCCTAGATGTTTTGGCTTTCTGTTGTTTTTAATTGCAACGTTTACATCCTCCTTAAAAACAACATTTCCATCCCCCTGATAGGTTCTGCCTTCGGAGCCAAGTGGTTCCCCCTCCACCTATCAGGAAACACAGGCCTAGAAACCATCCTTGAAAGCGTAAAGTGGCCGGTCCAGAGCCTCACCAGAAAAAGGAATTAGCAGAAATGTCTCTTCGAGGCACTGCAGGGGTGGGGGTGGGGGGGCTGGTAAGGCACGTTGGAACTTCTAAGCTTTGGGGCAACTATACTGATTGGATTTGGCACTCGTGACTACTCTCCAGCTATAAAAAAAGTAAGATACGACACAAATTTTTTTATAAGGCAGAAGCTGAACAAGACAATGAGAGTTAAGAAAAAAATGGAAATAACTTTTAACACTGCTTACAACAATGGTTCTGTATGTATGTCACTTGACAGTTTTCGTAGTAACACCTTTGTTTTGTTTTGGGTGGGTGCCTAGACCTTGCTGAATGTACATGTGCTGAAGAACCTCATTTAATGCTGATGCTAAGGGAAAAGAATAAAGATCTCCATTTGCAGCTTACCAAAGGGGTCCTCCAAGTGTGAGAGGCCTAAGGGTTGCCAAAGTGTGTGAAATCAAAACTATTTTCATAATAGTATTCAGACCCTATTTATTGAAAGGGCGGGCCTACGCCCGCCGACTCCATCTTGTTCTGTGTTCTTCACCTTGACCACACCTCCTCCCCTTGAGTAACCTCCCGCTCACCCTTTCAAACTTCCCGATCAAAACACGCCCGGCGACCTGCGTAACAGGACTCCGACCCTTCCCCAGCCAATCGGCTGAGGCCACAGCCATTACCTCACCAACTGCCCCTAGACCCCAATAAAATCTTTGTGCTTTTGAAACTTGCTCTCTCTTTCCTGGTATCTCACCGCCGCGTCGGTGCAGGTAGGGGATGGAGCTGGAGCTAGCTCGAATAAAGGCTCTTGGCTTTTGCATCGGACTCGGCTCCCTGGTGGTCTTTGGGGATCACGAATTCTGGGCATAACATTTATCTTTTTAATTCTCATTCTCTCCAGTCTTTTGCTTGGAAGTGGATTTTTTTTCAGAGGCTACCTGACATGTTACATCCTAAGAGGTTTGGTGCTGAAGCAGCTGTGAGAATCCAGCTGTCTTCTGTTAAGTCAGACATCAAAGAGACTTGGGAACATTAAGCAGGGGTATGTAGTAGTATGTAGAACAGTATGACTTTCCTCAATAAATTTGTTCTGGATAGTTCAGTTATTTTTCATAAGATGCATGACGTTTATGTTAACACTTATGTTAAAGTCTATTGTTTGTATTTAAAATAAACAAGAAAATAAGCGTTTTAAATGCTCTCCGTCTTAATTTCTGATATAGTAAATATTGACAGCAGTAACCCACATAAACAAGCACTTCAGAATCCTCAATAATGTTTTAAGAGTATAGCAACTTGCAAACCCCTGGCCCCCAGCTCATCACAGAAAGCTGTGCTGGTAATGAAATTGCTGAACTCCTGTCCTGTTCCTGCAGCTGCTTCTGTCTCGCTCTCTCCAAAACCACAAAACCCGTCAGAGATAGCTTGGTCAGGAATCTGCTAAATGGAGATTACATTATGTATATGTGTGTGTGTGTGTGTGTATATATATATATATATATATATTTTTTTTTTTTTTTTTTTTTCTTCTTCTTCTTCTTTTCTGAGTCCCAGTGCCCTGCAGGCCTATCTCTGGGTGTCTCCTGAAGGCCAGGGCAACCTGTCCTGGTTGATATCATCTTTGGAAATTTCACACAGGAGCCGACTTTGTGCTCAGGTATTTCAGGATCGCCCTGGGAGGTCTGCTTTACAGAAGTTAACAGCCTGACTGGGGCAGGGAAATGCTATTCCTCAGAAGCCATTTGGCACAGCTTCCACGTTGGGGTATTCTGTATAGACTAAGCAGGGCATGTAATAACTGCTCAGACGGGTCTGGAACGGGGTCTTTATGGGGACGATTCGGAATAGATCTAAGCAGACATGACTGCCGGTGAAAGATTTGTCAGCCGCCAGAAAATCAGGTAACAACGCCTTTAAACCCACTTCTTCCTGTGATGGCACTATTCCTTCCTACGCTCCCCTTGGGGAAGGTAGGCCTGCCCTGCCCACGGTGGCAAGGAAGTAGCGCGGTATGGAAATGCCACGCCTGGGTTCAGTGCCCCTCTCGATTCTCCTCTCTCCACGGGATCCTGCCTGCTCCCGCCGGTCTGGCAGGTGGACACCGGCCGCGAGTCTGCGGTTGAGCCAAGCGGGTGCGGCGCCGGCCGTCGGAAAGGTGTGGAGGGAAAGTGGCCGGCTAACATGTGCACGACCGAGAGGCCGGAGATCGGGACTCCCGGGAGGGCGGCCCCCGGCCCGCCGGGCGACCTTGGGGGAGCGGGCTCCGTCTCTGGGCGAAGGTGTGCAGTTCCCGCTACCTGCCGCTCCGGCGGCGCTCTGGCTTCCTCTCCCTTTTCCGGCGGCCCTTTGCCAGGTCGGCCTAAGCTGGCTTCTCCCAGGTGAGCTGGTGGTGAGGGCTCCGTTTGGACCGCCAGGCCCAGGCGGACCCCGAGGCTAAGGCGCGCAGGGGAGAGGCTACGCGGGACGCACAGGTGGGGAGCCCAGGTGGGTGGCGTACCGCTCACCCGGCGCAGGGCGCACATCCGCCTCGCTGCGGGTTAGCAGAGGTCACGCCACCGCGGCCGCAGGAGGGGCCAGGGCGCACCCCGGAGCTGGGAACCTCCCTCCCTACGAAGATCACTTCCCGGCACCGCGCCTCCCAGCTCCTCCCGCTGATCCCTCTCCAGCCTGCAGGATTCTGGAGGTGGGGCCGGGAGCGGGGAGTCTTTGGCGGCACGTCGGGTAAATGTGGGCACCCCGCGAAGACAGGTAGGCCTGGGCTAGGACCTCTGAGATTCGTGGTCGCCGTCCCCGCCGAACCTCATCCGCTCCCACCTTAGTGTCTTCCTTGTCGCTCAACGGGGGGATGCTGGCCCTGTTGTTCTGCGGCGTGTCCATCGCGCTTCCACCCTTTGTCAGAGCAGGTACGTTGGGCCGTCCTCGGGTCTAGGCCACCCTCACCCACCTTCCTCCTTGCGGCTCTGTGGGAGCGCCTGCGCGGCCCATCTGGGGGCTCACAAGAGCCCCCAGCCTTTCTGCTACTTCCACCCCAGGGGACCAAGTGAAGTTAACGCTGAGTGGGGAAACAGCAAGTTCCCAGCATCTGACGCTCAGCCCCAAATGTCCCCTTTGGGTTTTGAGGCACCTTTGGCAGGGGGAAGGTGCGGGGGGGGGGGGGGGGGGGGGGGGGGTGAGGAGGTGTGGGTAGGCAAATTTGGAAGTCTTGAGTCCAAAGGCTCAAAACCCAGCAGCAGAACAGACTTCTCCCGAGAAGACACGCAGTGCAGTGCCATGCTATGCGGTTCAGTAGAAGCGAACTTTAACATGAGCAGATTTTTAAACAATCCTCTTTGGGATGAAATACTTGCACCTTTTATTCAAGACGGAGTGAAATAACTGGGTGGCAGAGCACAAAGAAACAGGACAAGGGGGCTCAGAACAGGAACGTGTACTCAGGCAGATAAGGACTCAGGGTCTTAGGAAAGAAGCGACAGAACAAAATCATCCCAGACAGAGAGGATGAGTCAATGTCTTTTATGGACACATTTTTGTCCATAAATCAAATCAGCAGACCATTTTAGGGAACTCCCACGCTGAGAAAACTCTCCAATACAATTTCAAATTGGCTAGAAAATTGAAGAGGCATTTGTTAAAACTGATAATAAATAGCACCAGAGTTCTCTTTCATGATTCCCCCACCGCTTTCTTTCCCTAGATGCATGCAAGGATATTAGAATGTACAAGGAGACACCTTCCGCCGGCCAGCCTTTTGCTTTTAATTGTATAAACCTGTCACCAACGTCCGGGAAAGTACATGTAACATGGTATAAATATCCTGGCAAAAGCCCAATATCCACAAATGCACAGTCCAGAATTCACCAGGAGCAAAACTGGATTTTGTTTCTCCCCCTGACACAGGAGGACACCGGGATCTACCAATGTGTCATAAAGTAAGTTGCTCATTTAAAATAGAACTAAGTCCCTCTTTCTGTCTTTTTTCACACACACACACACACACACACACACACACACACGTGTGTGTATAGTGTTATAACCATATATATATATATATATATATATATATATATATGGGGGGGCTTGGTGGTAATAGTCAAGTTAAATGTCCCGACCAGCCAGGTCAACATCTGCTGGGTCCGTGGGTTCGAAAGGCCGGGTTTGGGCTGATGGCTCAGAGCGCCTGAGCCTGTTTCTCGACATTCTTGTGTGTCTCCCCTCTGCCCCCCCTCCTCGCTTCATGCTCTGTCTCTTCTTGAAAAATAACAAAAAACGCTGAAAAAAATTTATATATATATGTATATATATATATATATATATATAATTCTTTAGGAAAATTCTTTATAAACTCTTAATAAACATAGAAAGCTCAGTGAGAGAATAAAATAGTTTTATAACAGTTTGTTACCAGACGGTTTCCAGTGAACACATTTTACACTTGATCTCAGCCAAAATGCCGAGAAGCGATCCAGTGAACACATTTTAAAACAGAACAGGTTTATAAATCAGTTGTTGGAACATGAAATGCATCTTTTCCCATTGATCAAGGTCAGCAGGCCAGACCAGCTTAAAAATCTGTTTCTCCCATTGTTATTGCTGCCTTCTTTCTTAGAATGCCAGAAGTTTTTGTGACAGGTGGCACAACCAGATGGGGATAAACCTCCTTTGAGCACCTTTTTGTAATGGCACCACAATCGGAATTTAACAGTGACTGACAGATATGTTTCAGGCCCTGTGCTAAGTAAGCCTCATGTTAGGACGTAATGTAAATGAGTGAGTGACCCAGGGCTCATGGCAGGGAGATAGTTGAGCCTGGTGGGGGCTAGTGGGCAGGAGTTACTATGTCCCACCAGCGGCAGCAGCACCACAACTCAAGCCCCAAGTTTTCAGGGAACCTGGAAATTGTATGTGTGTGTGTGTGTGTGTGTGTGTGTGTGTGTGTGAGTTTTCAATAAGCTTTGTGAGTATGGCTTAAATAAAACACATTTGTGGACAAATTTTGCCCAACGGCCTCAATTTTGTTACCTTTCCTTACTGGCATGCATGTCTTTAACAAATGATTTGATCTCTCTGAGCCTTGATTTTCCTATCTGTAAAATGGAAGTAATGCCAGCCTGATAGGGTTGAAGGGACAATTAGCTGAGATTATATGTGAAATTGGTACTGGAGAAAGGTGATTGCGTTTGCCCAGTGGTACACAAGTGGGCCCGTTTCATGGCTCCTTTCCACAATTTCACTCACTGTTTAGATTAAGGTGCTGACAAGGTGTCTCGTGGAGGTCTCCTGTCCTGTTTGACTCTGGGTTATGACATAATAGAGCTGGAGATTGTGTGGCACACAAATTCATCTGGATGCCTGGGCTGGATTTAAAATACTTAAATCTGGTTGCTGTGAAACAGGGAAAGATCATCTTTCCTAGAAAGTAGACACAGATGCTGCTGTCATGGAAAAAAATAAGTGTGAATTCTCAAAAATCATTAACATACAGATATGAGACATACTTAGTAAACTGTATATTTTTACACTGAAGTAATTTCAAATTCCTGCACATTTTGCAAGAATAGTATAAAGAACTCCCACCTATCCTTTATCTAGATTCCTCATTATTTTAACATTTGCCACATTTACCTTATAATTCTCTCTCCCTCTCTCTCTCTCTCTTTCTTGCTCTCTCCATATATGACTGATCCCTGAACAACATGGGTTTGAATTGCATAGGTCCACTTATACATGGATATTTTTTTGATGAATATAGTACATTACTGTAAATGTATTTTCTCTTCCTTATTATTTCCTTAACATTTTCCCTCTAACTTTATTATTTTTTTTTTCATTTTAAAGAGAGAAAGAGAGCATGAGCAGGGGAGAGGGGCAGAGGGAGAGAGAGAGAATCCTAAGCAGTCTCCACACTCAACGTGGAGCTCAACAGGGAGCTTGATCTCACGACCTTGGGCTCATGACTTGAGCTGAAATCAAGAGTCAGTCGCTCACCTGACTGAGCCACCCAGGTGCCCCTCTAGCTTACTTTACTGTAAAAACACAATATATAATACACATAACATACAAAATATGTGTTAATCCATTGTTTATGTTATCAGTAAGGCTTCCAGTCAACAGTGGCTATTAGTAGTTCAGGTTTGGGGGAGTCAAAAGTTCTATGTGGATTTTCAACAGTGCACGGGGCCCAGTGCCCCTAACCCCCTCGTTGTTCAAGGGTCAGCTGTATATGTATATTACACGCAATATTTTTTTTTCTAAGCCATTTCTTCTAAAACACTTGAGTTGTATGCGTCGTGTTCCTTTAGCCTTGAGTAGTTCCATGTGTGTTTGCTGCCAAGAATATTTTTTTAGTTATCATATTCAGGAACCATCATATAACATTTTTATCTAACTCCCAATTCACACTATAATTTTGTCAATCATCTCGATTTTTCTTGACACATTTTTTTCCTTTCCTTTCTGGTAGAGCATCCAATCTGGGATCATGTATTGCATGGGGCTGTCATGTATTTTCAGTCTCTTTTCATCTGGAACAGGTCCTCTGTGCTTCACGACATTGACATTTTTAAGGAGTACAATTATTTTATACACTATCCCTTCATTCGGGTTTGCCAGACATTTCTTCCTAAGTAGGATGAGGCTGAGCCTTCTTGGCTGGAATAGCATGTAGTCTGTACCCTCTTCAGACAACACACTCAGCAGCTCATGGTGTCCATTTGCCCCTTGGTGGTGGTAATCAGTTGGATCACGTGGTTAAGGTGTTGTCCAGGGCTTCCACAATATAAATATATTTTTTTTCCTTTTTGTAAGTAATGATTTGTGAGATGCATCCCACCTCGTTTGAGGCAGAGGGCTTGCACAATATCTTGAAGATGATTTGGCAATCTGGAGATGAGTGGATTCATTTGATTTTGTGACTGTTGGAGTTTACGAGGTTTCAATTTGCCATTTTCTTACAGCTATACAAACACCTGTCACAGAATCCATGTAAACCTAACTGTGTTAAGAAAATATTGGTATTGTTTTTCTGGAAACAGTCAACTGATTTTATCAGATGAATACAAACAAATATTACATGCCGGAAAAGACGACAGTCTTACCTGTCATCTGAACTTCCCACAGAGTTGTGTTTTGGATTCAATAACGTGGTACAAGGTAAAAAAAATAATTTTCCTATGATATTTTTCTTCTTCTTTAAAACTTACTCGTTTTGGGGGGGCCTGGGTGGCTCAGTTGGTCAAGCATCCAACTTTAGCTCAGGTCATGATCTCACAGTTCATGAGTTCGAGACCCACGATGGGCTCTGTGCTGACAGCTCAGTCTAGAGTTGGCTTCAGATTCTGTGTCTCCCTCTTTCTCTGCCCCTTCCCTGTTCTCACTCTTTCTCTGTCTCAAAAATAAATAAGCATAAAAATTTTTTTAAACCTGTGTTTAGTTTAAGTTGTATCTTTTAAGGCAGAGTTGGTAAAGAGATTTGAGTACCTAGCTAATTGTTAGCTAATTGATATTGATAATTTTACCCAGCTGATTATTGATTTTAAAATTTATGGTTCTTACAACTTTGTAATATTTTATTCCTTGTATTCACCACCTCCCCGCTATTGTATTTTTGAGAACTATCTTTGGTTATTCTTTTATTCTAACAGATTAATAAATTTGTTTGAGTGGGCACTACACGCACATGATTCAATAATCACAAAGTATAAAAAGTCACCCCTGGAAAGTATCCTCTGCTCTCCTGAGCTGTATTTGCCCTGGGCCTGTCACACCTTTCCTAGCACGTGGCTGCTTTTATTACTTTCTTTTATCCTTTGCATTATTTTTATATCATGCTATCCAAGCAAATAAAACTATATCTTTGTCCTTCACTTTTTATGAAAACACGAAATCCTTGACTCACCTTTCTGCACCTTGTGTTTCCGCCTTGGAGCATTCTCTTTTCTTGGCTGTCCCGGCAGATATTAATGTCTAAGACATAATCCTAGGCAGGGAGGAGAACAGGCTGGTTATTTAAGATAGAATTAGTTCTCCTGTAATTCTGCTTGTTAGCACCTGTCGGTACAGCCATCTGGGGCGTGATTTTTCTCTGTGGAAACCTTTTTATCACCTGATTCAATTTCATTAATGGAGAGAGGCTTATACCAATTTCTCATTTCTTCCTGAAAGAGTTTTGGTAAGATTTCTTTTTTTGTAGGAAATTGCTCCTTTCATTAAACATTTCAGATACTCTAGCATGCAACGGTTTATCATCTTTGCTCTTTTGATGTCTGTTTCTGCCAGAAGGTTCTTCTTTTAATCCCTGTTACAATGTATTTGTCTCTCACTGTCTCACTGGATTAGTCTCTCATAAGAGAGGTGTCAGTTTTATTACTTTTTTCCAAGGATCCAGTTTTGGCCTTGTTGATCCTATTACATGTTTTGTGTTCATTTACTTTGTTTCCATTTTCTGCTCTCACAAGGCAATGAATGGCCTTATCCCTGTGTTTGAAGGCTCATTTGCCAGTGTGTAAGTTTTGTAGGCTACATTCTCATTAACCTTATAATTGTTAGATTGTAGGCTATGTATAAAGTATTCAATTTCATTGATGATGCCAAGTTCCTTGACAAAATTTTTTATCGGCTTATACTCACCCCCTGCAATATCCTGGACTCCCTAAAACCTTATCTGGGACTTTGTATTATAAGACTTATATATTTTTTTATCAGCTTAATGGGTGTAAATGTTACTGTATTGTTGTTTTAGTTGCTTTTCCTTAATTATTAGTGTTAGTGAGATTGAACAACTTTTGCATACATTTACTGACCATTTTTGAATGCTCTGAACTGGTGACTCCTACCTTTTGCCCTATTTTTATTTTTTTCATTTTTCTTACCATTTTGTTGCTGACTTACAAGAGACTTTATATATTTATATATTCTGGGTACCAATGTTTGGAATGCGTGAACAATTTCCATCGAGGTTCAGTGTATGTATAGAAAATACATGAAGCTTAAGGGGACAAGCTTGATGGATTATCAGAAAGTGAACATACCCTTTGGTTACCCCTTTCAGTGATCAAGGTCAAGAACTAAAACACCACCAGCACCTCAGAAGGCCCCCTTCTGCCATCTTCCAAAGAACTGTACTTCCCTAATCCCCTGACTTATAATAGCATAGATTAGTGTTGCCAGCTTATGAATTTCACTGAAATTGAATCATATTGTATGTAGTACATATAGGCACAAGCCTGGCTTGCTTGGCGCAATAGTAAACTTGTGAGAATCATCATTTGAAGTTGGGATTGACTCGGTCTTCTTTTAGGGCCATGCTTTTAGCGGTTTAACCAAACCGTGTGGTCATTTCGATCCCAGCTGAGGACTTAAGAGTTTGGCAGGACGTCAGGCCCTGACTCTAGCTTTTGTCTCCTACACCTGTATCTGTCAAAGCGCTGTCTTATCAGTCTACTGGCTGTCACCTTCAGGATAATTTTGGGGGTGGGGCGCCTGGGTGGCTCAGTTGGTTGAGGTTGAGCGTCCAACTTCGGCTCAGGTGATGATCTCACGGTCTGTGAGTTCGAGCCCTACGTCGGGCTCTGTGCTGACAGCTCAGAGCCTGGAGCCTGCTTAGGATTCTGTGGCTCCCTCTCTCTCTGCCCCTCCCCCACTCATGCTCTGTTTCTGTCTCAGAAATAAATAAACATTTAAAAAAAAAAGAAGTATTTGGGACACTTAGTTCTAAACACCCAGTTTTCCTTTAATGAGAAGTTCTCTTTACAGACTTTATAGCTACTGCCTGTGTCTTCTCCACTTACAAGGCTAATACCTGGCCCTGAGGAAATGTTCAGTAAGTTTTTGTTGAATAGGTGGATGGCTTCTGAGTTCTTTCTATCTCCAATATGTTTTGTTTTTCTTATTAACTATTGGGCCATTGGAAAAAAATTACGTGACAAGTATTCATTTAATATGTGTTGGGACATATAATAAACAGTTTGCATACTCTTTCTCATTATCCTCTTGTTAGCATTGGCTCTGACTACAGTTTAAAAACTAACAACAATCCTGTTCCAAGGGAGGCCTGGCTGGCTAAGTCAGTAGAACATGCAACTCTTGATCTCAGGGTCATGAGTTGCAGCCCATGTTGGGCATGGAGACTACTTGGAAAAAAAAATTCCCTAACAGTATTCCTGTTTCACTTAGAGGGTACTGATTGCCAGGCCACCGTCCCCTCAGCCTCAGTTGGCTTGGACTGTGGCATTACCCACTTTCCGAGTTCAACTTTGGCCTTCTCAGGATATGGGGTCACACGTTCTTCTCCGTGGCTTCTTGTAGACTCTTCCTCCAGCATTCTGTCTCCCACCTTGCAGCCTTGCAACAATTACCTCTTGGCACCAGCATTATGCCCCTTTAGAGTCTTATCAGTAGAACTCTTCTCGAAATTTTTTCCTCTTGGCCTGGGCCTATTGTGGTCATAGATTGGAAAGCACTTGACATTTGTAGAGAGGTAGGTTTTTAGAATCAACTTTGTCACTACCTCAGTGTTAAGAGGATGGGTTTTTTTTTTTTTTTTTTTTAAAGCACTTGGCTTGGACTTATCTTCTACTCCCTGAATCAGATTATCCATAGGTGAGGTTCAGGCATCTTTATTTTTAAACTATCTGCTCAGCCTGAGCAGATAGGAGGCTAGGAGTCGAGCAATATGAAGAGGAGGGATTGTTCTGAAACTGTCCCACCAGCGACCTCAGTTATGGCTCTGTTTTTGCTACTCTCCAGTTCAGACCTTGAGTTACTTTTTGGGCCTCAGTGTTTTCTTCTGTCAAATGAGAACGTTGGAATCAATTCTCCAAGCACTTAGAACCTATTATCTGCCTGGGGCCATACCAGGAAATGCTTTGTGTAGGAGGTGAGCATTGCACTGCGTAAAGAATGAATAGCAATGAAGCTGGTGGGGAAGGGGTGGTGGGGGGCGAAAATGATGACAATTAGAAAAAACCCTAGCAGGTGCAAAGGGATCAGGTAAGAAAGAGAATGGTGTTTGGGGGTATTAGTTAGAGTCTGAGGTCCATGTCCGAGTGGGGTAAGGTGATGCTAGGAAGTAGAAGATCTTGTTTGCTAACCAGCACATAGCCTTTCCCCCACTTAAAGTATGTTAACGGCCAATCACCCTATTAGGAGAATGACATACTCCACTTCTTTACGCGTTAGTAAAGTCCTCGTGGAGGCACTGCAGGGAATAAATTGGAAGGGCTTGCGGATGGTGGCGTGTGGATCATTGACGCTATTTCAGAAATTCAGTGATTAAACGAGGACCATTGAGGAGAGTGTATAAGATAGAACTGACAGAATGAGGGGAAAAGAGAGGAGAGTAAGTGGAGGGAACTCATTCCCAGTGGCCCCTCTTTTCTCCATTAACTGGAGGGAGATGTTAGGTGGAAATTTAGAAAGAACAGTGTAGGTGAGTAGGTGAATGAGGGAGTCGAAGGCAAAGAATTTCTAAGGTGAAGACCATGAATTAGTAGTGATGCCAAGACTCATGTTGATGTGATTTTCTCTCATAATGTTCATCGGGTTGTAGGCATGTAGGAGAGGGACAATGGGACCAACCCAGGGTGGGTTTTGCAGGCTGAATATGCTGCAAGGATAAAGGGCGACAGTGTGGAGGAATTGAAAGGGGGTCAGTAAAGTGACGCCACATGATGGGAAAGGAAATGATACCTGAAGGAAAGTGGTAATTAATACCAAATGAGGATTCAAGAAGACTGCTTCCAGCGAAGACAGAAAAATGGGTGTGATGGATAGAAATTTCAGGTAGAAGACTATAATGAACATGGTGGATAGATGTTCACTGTCCATGGTGAACCTCTTTAAACACTAGAGAGGCTATAAAGCTAAAAAGAAACAAACGAACAAACAAACAACCAAAGCAACCAAATACACACCCTACAGTTTTCCAGGGTTTCCTGCAGCTAATGTTCTGGATGTGACTAAGCTTCTTCAGCTGGCTTCCCTGAAGGGCTGAAATGAGAAATTGTCTAGATTGTCCTGCTTTTTCTGCTGGACAGCATGGACATGGGGATTTTTCTGCAGCGGTGTTCCAGGGCCCAGACCTCGGCTTTGTGGGAGCTGAGAAGCAGTGCATAGGCCTTCTGATGATGTATTTGTTGGTGTGACTTTACTAGATGTGGCATGACTTCGCACGCTAGATTTGCGTCGTGGCAACTCCTGGTGTCTGACTTTCAGGTGGGGTGTTTCAAAGTCTTGACTCCCACCTCACAGTTATGTCAGAGGTAGCAGGGATCCTGTGAGCTAGTTCACCAGCATGGTCTGGTTTAGATCTCACTGCCTGAGTGCTTCTTAAAGATTTGTAAGTGCCTAATACCTGTGTTAAATCCTTTTCCCCCTAAAATAGCTGGGATGCTTTTTGCTTTATGCAACTAAAACCTGTCCAAGAGATAAGGCCTCACAGATTTGTTTTGAAGAGTGAATGAAATCATCTATCTGGTAAGCCCTTAGTTCAGTGTAGGTACATAGCAATTATTTAATAAATAAATATCACATGCTATTATTTGGTTAAAATAAAGGAATGGAAGAGATGGAATAATAAAAAATGATAATCAGAATGGTATATTTGTTTTGAGGAATTTAGAAACATAGTGGTTCTGGATAATGACAAAGCCCAGCTTGTGGCTGGGATAATTGAAGACCAAGAGGAATAGAGATGGTCCTTGAAATTGAAGGGTTATGGAGGAGAAGGTTCAGGTATTAACATATCCATTCTTGGGGCACCTGGGTGGCTCAGTTGGTTAAGCGTCTGACTTTGGCTCAGGTCACGATCTCGCGGTTCGTGGGTTTGAGCCCCGCATTGGGCTCTGTGCTGACAGCTCAGAGCCTGGAGCCTGCTTCAGATTCTGTGTTTCCCTCTCTCTCTGCTCCTCCCCCACTTGCATTCTCTCTCTTTCTCTCTCTCTCTCAAAAATAGACATAAAAAAATTTAAAAAATAAAATATGCATTCTCATAGACAATGAAGTATTCACATTGGAAAAGCAGTAATGTCTCCATTTTTTTTTTCAATTCCAAACTACTTCTCAATACAATGATTTCTGCTCCACTATGAGGCTGTGTCTGTACTTCCTGAGATCATTCTCAAAGGCAAATATGATCGTCTCATTCCCTTGCTGGAAAAGCTGCAATGTTCGTCCCTTTTTCATGGTTTTCTATGATTGGGCTCCTGGGTGCCTGACCAGTTCTATCTCTGTCACTCTCCTGTAGGTTTTGCATCTTAGCCAGACACTCTGGGCCATTCTATTCCTCCAACCACTGTACGTGCTGGGCTCAAAGTGTTCTTCTTGGCGCTTGGGAGACAAAATACATTCAAATGTTGCCTGCTCTCATTACTAATATTTTAAGTTTAGATCTTGTCAGTGAGATGTCACTTACAGATTTTTAAGTAACCGTCAAGGCCTTCTGAGAATTTAAACTCTACAACGATGCCCTACTGGACTGTGGTAGAAGCAGTCCCAGTTACTGTAAAGGGACAGGAGCTATCAAGATTGCTTCTTAAATTATCAAGATTGGATTTCCATATGATTAAGTATTTGTACATCTTAAAAGAAAGGACGAGTCGATCAGAAAGGGACTGGTCAATGACAGAAATGTAGAAAGGGATATACGGATCCACGTATTCTGGGCCTCCAGAGATTGCCCCTATCGAAGCCCTATCCAGGGAAGAAAGTTTTCATAGTCCAGGGACTCAATGCTTTTTGTTTGTCCCTACTCCAAAGAAGGTGGCATCACATTATGGGATCTGATGCCTTCACCCATCTGACCCTTACTAATAATTCCCATTCTGTTTGTTAAGTAACTATCCAATTATAATTGGATTTCCCATATGGGAAATAAGGTAAAACTTTTAGAAATTCACATGATAAATAAACAAATGCTCGTTCTGGAGTTACTGAGTTTTAGCTTCCAAGGTGGATCCATTCACACTGTTCCCATGAAGAATGGAGTCTTCTCCTGAGCTAGCTACAGCTGATTCCGTGAGAAGAGAGCTCCAAACGCAGGCAATTAAATCTTTATCAGGGTAACCCCTGAAAGTTTGTCCTCTATATTACATGGTTGTGAGCTTTCTGAAGACAGGGACTGCATCTTATTCCTGTATGACATGACCTCTCACAGACTAGCAAAGAGCAGGAACTTGAATGCTTTAATGAATAAATGGGCTCAATAATTCAAGAAGTTACTCTGTTGAGTGGCACTTCCCAAAGAAAGGGGCAAAGTTTTGAGGAAAAGTTCAGAAGGGGGTCTGTGAGATGGAAGAAGTGGCAGTTAGCATGAGAATGTGAGCTTCTGACAGACAGATGGAGGCTGAGGCCTGCCCTGTGGGTGGTTGCCGAGGATGACAAGCAAGAAAGGCATTCCTGAGACCAACCAGACCTCAAGCTGGTTTGGTGTGAGGTTGTTCTTGTCGATGCAGCGGCAGCGTGGGCGACGTAACAAGTTATGTGACATCTGCCCATAAGCCTAGCCATCATACTTTGACTATTGCTCAGACCACCAAGCAGAATGTTCTTGAAGAGTTATTTTGGACCTCTGTAAAGTCCAACCCCTGACAGGTTGAGAAGGTGTATTTGGGCCTGGAACACAGTGGAAGCAGTCATTAATCACCTGGGCTTGCAGTTTTAGCAAAGGGTCATGGTGCCATGAGATGGTGGTCCACTGGGAGATATGGTCCCTTGTGGGTGGAAGGCATTCCTGCCTGTTCACATCCTCCTACCATATTCCTCTGAGGACCCTACCAAATCCTCCTTCATATAGTCTTCCTTCTAGCCCACTTAGGCCTCTCTCTTCTCAACCTCTGTTAGACTTAATATTACAGCACTCACTGTAGCTTGCAACATATTCTTTGTCAGATCTTCTGTAGATATTTATCCATCTTTCTATCTATCTACAGATATAGATGGATATGGATGGATAGATAGTAGATAGATAGATAGATAGATAGATAATCATCTTCAGTTAGATTATACATTACCCATGGTCTAGGGATCACATGTTTCTTGCATCTCCCCACAGTTCATAGGAGGTGCTAACTAGGAATGTAACTGATGCACCAAAATACTCTTTGAATTAAAATGTATATGTATAAGGGCTCCCAGGTGGCTTAGTCAGTTGAGCATCCGTATCTTGGTTTTGCTTCAGGTTGTGATCCCAGGGTCATGGGAATCGAGCCCCACATCAGGTTCTGCACTGAGCGCAGAGCCTGCTTAGGATTCTCTCTGTCCCTCTCCCCTCCTTGCACTCATTCTCTCTCTCAAATTAAATAAGTAAATAAAATATATATGTATATATATTTTTGTATTTAGGACTGTAAAGAGATTAAAGGAGGACGGTTTACTCGTTGGAGAATTAAGCTCTCAGTGAGCAACGTTTCAGCAGAGGACGGAGGGGACTACGCGTGTCAAGCCCAACTGACACACACAGGGAAGCGGTACACTATTTTAAACAGCATCACTGTGAATATCAGTAAATATGCTCATATCCGTTGCCTTGGCTTCCTCTTGGCTCTGCGTGAGATGGCTGGCTTTGGGAAGCAGTGATTCTCAATCTTGATTTTCTTGAGGGTTAGCAGACTCTCAAAGTTGCCATTGTTAGAATCAGAGGGGAGAAAGAGGGGGTGGTCAAAGGGCAGGAGGAGTTCAGTTTCTCATCTGGGAAAACAGAATGCTCAACACGCTTGGTGTGAAAATGAAATGAGAGCACGTATGTAAAGCAGGTACTGGGGTACCTGGCAAAGTATAGGTATTCAGGACGTGGTAGATATTATTGTTACTCTTATTTCCCTCAGCCATCACTACTGTGACTACTTTGCTGGGCCACTCCAGCTTTGGCCTCCCCTGCCCATGCATGCAGAGTTCAAGGTCTCTGGACTTGATGCTCATGGGGTATCAGTTCTCAACCCAGAGCAGCCAGTTGGCTTGAACATATGACCTGGAGACCTGAAAGCAGAATATTTGGGGTTGAAGAAACCCTAAAGATAATTCAGCTTAAGCCGTTTATTTTATAGAGACCCGGGAGGAGTAACTTATGAAACTTACAGAGCTGGTTGGTGACAGAAACAGGTCTAGGACTAAGGCTTTCAGTGGCCAGATGAGCATTCCTTCTTTTCAACACCTTCATCAAGGAGTTCTTGCTATTGCCTTTTGCTCTCTTGTCAGGAGATAGTTGTTTTCTATGTTTATTCATCTAAATGGGAAGAACTGAAGACTGAATATTTCTTTGATTTGGACCATTATATCTGTCACTAATTTCTATCAGACTTCAAAACGCTGGGTGGTACCTAGCAATTTCCTCATGGTGTGGTTCTCTTAGGCAAGTATTTAGCATGGATGGCTTCCTGCTTCCCACCTAGAACCCTTTAATTAAGAAAAATAATTGTATTACATTTGATGATTTTTATGCTTTTGGGTTTTACGTCACCTGTTATCTCTCCAAAGGTAGGCGAAAGTTGTCTTGCTCAATCCCCCACACCTAGCCCAGTGCCTGGCCTAGACTAGGCACAGACCTATTTATTAACAGCATGATTGGCAACTGTCATGCTTTAGTTTTACATGGGTAGCCAAGGGATTCTTTGAAACACAACATTTCAAAGGTGAAATGAAGACTACCTCAAGAGGTCATTGAGCTCAATAGTCTATATTTCGTGCCATTGCAACAAACACTTAATTATGATCTATTATATCTCCCAAATTGTTAGAACCTGATCATTAACAAATTAAAAAAAAAAACATAAACCCATTGTTTCTTCTGTTGAGAAGCTCTCAACCTGGTGGCAGTGGAGATGGAGATGTAAATGAATCATTTTAACATTATGTGATAAGAATAGAGTTATAGATAGTGTCTGAGGAACAGTAAAAGAATCAGAAGTAGCCATGAGAGTGGCAAATAAGTCGCCTTGGAAGGCTTCCAAGAGGAAATGTCTTCTCAGCTGAATTTTGAAGGATGAGTTAGATTTATAGATGTAAAGAGTGAGACAGGGCAGAGAGAATGGTCTAAGACAAAACATAAAAGTGTCCACCAGTATAGTTTGTGTTGGATCTAAAACTAATTTTGTTGGAGCATACATAAGCATGTAGTAAGGAGCGGAGATTGCTGAGGCCATGGAGTGAAACAGGGTCAAGGTTAAGGGGGCCAGTTACACGCAGTCTTTCCCATGGAGCCACTGCAGAGCCTTTGGATGCAGAGGGACGAGGCTGCATTTGTGATGGACAAGACCAGTCTTGAGATGGTTGAGCAAGAGTTGAAGAGGGTCTTGGAGCCTGAAGACCACTTTGGCAGCTGCTGCAATACCCAGAAGAGGGCTGATAATCAGAACTTGAGTGGAATAGGCAGGAGATTCTTCTTCAGGCGGTAATTTAGTGGCTCTTTACTAAGTGCCTAACAAGGCCAGGTCCTGTGCTTAGTAGAGAGAGCATGATAAGGAGGAAAACAACCATGACTGCTGCTCTGATGGAACTTTGAAGTCTGAGCAGGGAGGGGAGGCAGAGCTATATCAGATAAGTTGCTAGTGAGATGTGTAATTACCAAGGAGATTCAATGCAATGAGAGAATGGAAAATGTGAGATCAAACAGACAAGGACCTGTTGAGAAGTCTGTGGGTCAGGGAAAGCTTCTTGATAATAGTGACACTGATAGTCAGGAAGCATAAACTGAATGATGGAGTGGGTGAGATTTTTCCAGACTGAGGGAGCAGCCAAAATAAAGGCCTTGTAACAAAACAGACCATGGTATGTCTGAATAATGGGAAATAGGCAGGTTGGCTGGAGCAATGCTGAGGGAGGGAGGTCACGCTAGGTAATGAGGTTGGAGAAGTAATTAGGGGCCAGGAATTGGTGGGAACATGCAATCCAAAGCAGAGAGTGTGGAGTTCATTCCAAGAACAATGGTAAGCAGCCAGACGGGTGGAGAGCAGGAGAGTCGCATGATGTGACTTACATTTCTGAAAGCTGAGTGTGGCTGCTGTGCACAGAATGATCCCTACAGGGGTAGAAGTGGCATGTAGGAGGCGGGTACAGAAATGCAGGTGAGATATCAGGTAGGTACAGGCAACATGGTGGCATTGAAGATGGAGAGATGTGGCTGGGTTCAAGGAATTTTAGGAGGTAAAACCCACAGGTGTTAGTGTTGGACTGAATATGGGGTAAGGGATATGGCAAGGTCAAGGGAGTTAGGCCTTTTGGCATATGCAATGGGCTGGTTGGTGATATTATTCAATGAAATAATATAACTCTGAAGGAAAACTGGATTTAGGAAAGAGATCATGAGCTTGGTCATGGGTAAGTTGAGTACTTGGAGGTGCCCACGTGGAGCTGTCAAGTAGGCCAAGGCCACAGTCTAGAGAAACGTCTGGAGATGCAACTCTCAAAGTCCTTGGCCTTTAGATGGTAATAGAAGGGTGGATATGAATAAGAGTACCTAGGAAAGAGTAGAGAGTGGAAAATAGAGGGTTTAGCTGTGAAGAAGGAGGCACACATGAAGAAATGTTAGGAGGTGAAATTAGTTTGACTTGGTGTTTGGTAATTTGAAGAAGTAAGAGAAGGGCTGTTGCCTAGAATGACTTCTAGATTTTAGCTGTGTGCGATCCAGAGCAAGGTGGTATATTAACTGGCTGGTGATGATTTCTGTCTGGAACACACTGAATTTGGATGCTTTGTATGTAGAATGTGCAAATATTATTGTCATTATAAAGGACGTATGTTTTTGCATTTTCCTAGCTTCCCTCTTATAGCTTCTCCGCATCCCACCCCAAATCTAGAGGAGGCACGTGGGGCTAGGCAGGTGATTGCTAAATGTTGGTGGACAAACTGGGAAGAGAAGAAGTGGAGAAAATTGAAGGGCTGACAAGTCAACACAAGGGAAGACAGTGATACAGTGGAAGTATAATGGAAGAGGATGGGATATAAAGAATATGGAAAAGCAGGGAGAGAGGATGGAGCAGTGAGACATTAGGATCATTATCTCTCTGTAGGACCCAGGCCAGAGCTTTGCTTAGAGCCACTGCTTTTACAAACTTTATCTGGATTATTAGGTAATGAGATTTTAGTACACAATCTCATCAGTTTACATTTATACCAAATACAGAATGGCGAAGAGAGCTCTCGTGCTAACCCAGTGCTTAGGGCTCTTCCTTAGCAATTCAGTTATTTCTGGTTTCAAAATAGGTATTTATGGGGTGGCATTTCATCATGCCACGAGCTTTGTGTTTTCCTTGACTAGTATTAACTGAAGATCTGCTTAGTACTGTGTTTTCTTTACACTAGCATTGGATAAGTCGTTGGGAAGGTATCATACATGATTCTAATGCAATTTCACGTGGGTTTGATTTCTTAGCAGAAACACATGGATATGCAGGAAGAATTCCTAAAATCATTTATCCAAAAAACAATTCAATTGAAGTACAACCTGGTGAGTAAAAATTTTGAAGCCATTGAAATCACTAAGGGGAGATTAATATACATGTTTTTTTGTTTTTTGTTTTTTGTTTTTTTAAATTTTTTTTTCAACGTTTATTTATTTTTGGGACAGAGAGAGACAGAGCATGAACGGGGGAGGGGCAGAGAGAGAGGGAGACACAGAATCGGAAACAGGCTCCAGGCTCTGAGCCATCAGCCCAGAGCCTGACGCGGGGCTCGAACTCACGGACCGCGAGATCGTGACCTGGCTGAAGTCGGACGCTTAACTGACTGCGCCACCCAGGCGCCCCAATATACATGTTTAATATAAAACCAATTAAATTTCATTGACTGGCCTCAAATTTGACAAGGCATTTGTTAAAAATTCATGTCAAAAAATGTTGGAAGAAGTTAGCAGGAAAACAATTGAATAGAAGAAGTAAAGAGCGAGAAAAAGAAGAAATAGAGATCTTTTCTAGTAAATATTAAAGTATGTTTAATTATAAAGCTATAATAAATAGACACTGATATTTGTATGCAAACAAAGATTAGATAACATAACAAAACAATAAGCATATGTTGGAATACACAGAAATTTAGTAAAGGAGATATGTAGAGAAAGAGATATAGTGTATGTGCAATATGAGTAAAACTTGTTAAATGTGAAGAATATGAAGTTCATTCTTTATCTCATATCAGACACTAAAATACATTTTTGATGAATTAAAGAACTACATATAAAAATAAATCCTCAAAAGTACCATTGAAAATAAAGATAGGGGTGCCTGAGTGGCTCAGTCAGTTAACTGTCCAACTTTGGCTCAGGTCATGATCTTGTGGTCCATGAGTTCGAGCCCTGCGTCAGGCTCTGTGCTGACAGCTCAGAGCCTGGAGCCTGTTTCAGATTCTGTGTCTCCCTCTCTTTCTGACCCTCCCCCATTCATGCTCTGTCTCTCTCTGTCTCAAAAATAAGTAAACATTAAAAAAAAAAAAAAGAACATAAAGATAAATCAGGGCACCTGGGTGGCTCAGTTGGTTGAGTGTCCAACTCTTGGTTTCAGCTCAGGTTATGGTTCCAGGGTCATGAGATCGAGCCCCAAATCAGGCTCCGTGCTGAGCATAGAGCCTGCTCTGGATTCTCTTTGCCCCTCTCCTGCTCACAAGCACTTACTGTCTCTCAAATAAAATAATAATGATAATAACAAAAGATAAACTTATGTCCAACCTCAGAAGGATGTACTTTCTACACATAGAACCAGTGGAAGAAATCACAGAAGATTAAAAATTAGACTATCATAAAAAATTTAAATGTATGTATATGTAAAAAATGGTAAAATCAAAATGTGAAAGACAAACTAAGAATGTTTTGAACAGAGATATTAAAAAACAGCTAATATAATTTCTCTAGAAAATTCCAAGAAATCAAAGAATATGAATAATCCAAATGGGGCAAATGAATAATTCACAGAAGAATAAAAGACTAAGAAAATATGAAAATATATTCACCTGCAATAAAAAATATACACAAAAACAATGATATCTATCCATGAAATTGGTAAGGATTAAAACATATATAATACCAAATATTAGCAAAGATACTATGGGAGGTGTTCTAATACATGACCAGCCATGAATATGAGCAATCATTTAAAAATGTTTAGGTTTAAAACTCTCCAAAGGTTTCCCATCTCAGACTAAAATTCAAAATCCTTGCATTCCCAGCGGGGCCCTCCACGGTCGACTTCCCCTTGTTAGCACCTCACATGTGCTTGGACCTCATTTATTGCAGCTCTCCATTCAGTCCTTCTGTTTTGATCACACTGGTATACCTGCTGTTCCTTGAACAGTCAAGCACACTTCTACCTCAGGGACTTTGCACTTGCTGTTTCCTCTACTTGAAACGCTCTTCCACACACATCCCCTTGTTCTGTTTCTTCACTTCCATCGGGTCTCCACTGAATGTCATCTCACTTGACCACCATGTTGAAATAGCACACCTCACTCACCATCATGCTCTAGCCCTTGAGCTTTCTGTATGTTTTCATAAAGTACTTATCACTACCTCACATATTTTGAACCTGTCTTGTTATCTCTAATTCTATTTGAACCATGCTTCTTAGGAGAAAGCTTTGCATCTGGTTTGTTCCCTCCAATATCATGAGTGCTCAGAACAATTTCTAGAACACAGAAGGTGCTTATGGCGTCTGGGTGGCTCCATCGATTAGGCATCTGACTCCTGATTTCAGCTCAGGTCATCATCTCACAGTTTGTGAGATCGAGCCCTGTGTTGGGGTCTGTGCTGACAGTGTGGAGCCTGCCTGGGATTCTCTCCCTCTCTGTCTCCCTCCTACTTGCTCTCCCTCTGTCTCTTCCTTGAAATAAATAAATAAACAAACATTTTTTAAAAAAGATGATGCTCAAGAAATAGTTGCTAAATAGATAAATAAGTCAATGGACTGGTATAAACTCTGCAGAGGGAAATTCTAATATGTATTCAGACCCTTCACAAATATGTATAACTTTTGACTCAGTAAATTCTAGATGGTAGACCACATACAGCAGACACAGATCCCCAGGGTCCCAGATACACACACACACACACACACACACACACACACACACACACACATATGTATGTATATATGTATCTATACGTATGTATATATATGTGTGTGTGTATATCTTAAAAATTAGACTATCATAAAAAATTTAAGTGTATGTATATGTGAAAAATGGTAAAATCAAAATGTGAATGACAAACTAAGAGAGAATGTTTGGAACAGAGGTATTAAAAAACAGGTAATATAATTTCTATGGAAAATACCAACAAATCAAGGAATGTGAATAATCCAAATGGGGCAAATGAATAATCCACAGAAGAAAAAAAAAGACTAAGAAAATATGAAAATATGCTCATCTGCAATAAAAAACATACACCAAAACAATGATATATATATAAATTGTGCTTACTATGTTCAAGGAAGGAAAAGACATGATTGAAATTTTCAAAAGACAATTGAAAACTTTTAAAAAGAGTAGCATATCAGATTTGAAAAAGAACAAACGAAACATCAGGACTGACAAAGACAATACCAAAACAAAAAATTCAATACAGAGTTTAATAGCCTATGAGACATTTGAAAAAAAGAACTACTGAACTAAAATATAAGTCAGGAGAAAATGTCCAGGATTAAGCACAGAGAGACAAAAGAATAAGAAATACAGAGGTTAGAGGAAGAGGATCTGCAGAGCTAACCTGTATATAACTACAGTCCTAGAAGAAAGAGAAAAGAGAAAAATGAGAGCAGAGGCAATATTATTTAAATGATAATCTGAGAATGTTCCAAACTGATAGACACATCAATTAAAAGACCCTGGAAGCTAAGGAGACTCAGCAGGATAAATGAAACCAAACCTGCACCTTAAAATACCACAGTGCAACTGCAGAAAACCAAAAACAAAGGAAAAGTATCTTAAAAGTTAGGGAAAAA